CGCCCCTCAGCCCCCTGGGGGGTCAGCCCCACCATTTGTACAATTTTGAATCCCCACCACCTCGGGATGCTTCCAGTCAAATATGGTTGATATCCATCACTTAGTTCCAGAGAAGAAGTCGCTTAAAGCACTATAGCCTAATTGCCCCTTTTGGCACCGCCCCTCAGCCCCCTGGGGGGGTCAGCCCAACTATTTGTACAATTTTGAATCCCCAACACCCAGGGATGCTACCAGTCAAATTTAGTTGAATTCCAATCAGTGGTTAAGAAGAAGTCGTTTAAAGCAATTGTTGACGTACAGACGACGGACGACGGACGCCACGTTATGGCATAAGCTCACCTTGGTCTTTCGGACCAGGTGAGCTAATAATGTCCAATAAATTCTTGATACTTTGACCCTTAAGACAAAGAAGTGTGACTGTTTCACCTTGATCATCCTTACAAAATAACAAGAGTCCCAGAGGGCCTGTATTGCTCACCTGGATATCTAAGCAATCATGGCAAAATATTCTCCAAATGAGATCCAAGGGAATATGCCAGACCCCAAGGTCAATCCTTGTAGCATATCTGTATTAGATTTTTCATGCCAAGCAATTTTATGTATGGTTAACGGGTGGGGATCTAAACTGTTTCCAAACTGTGACTTAGAAACTAGGTCCCTAGGGTTGTGGCCAGACCCTAGGATCAATTCGAATATCATGACTGCATTTGTCTCTTTTTGTCCAGCATTTGTATATATAGTTTTGGGGTGGGGATCTCAGCCGTTTCAAAGATATGATCCAGGGACGGGACAGATCCCAAGGCCATCCTGGAAGCATATGTGCATTCATCTCTTTATAATCAGCAGTTGTATATATGGTTATAGGGTGGGGATCTCAACTGTTTCCAAGCTGTGACTAAGAAACTAGGTCCCAAGGGGTTCGGTCAGACCCCAGGGTCTATTATAATATCATGACTGCATTCGTGTCTTTATGCCCAGCATTTGTATATATAGTTATGGGGTGGGGATCTCACCCGTTTTAAAGTTATGGCCCAGGGACTGTCTCCAAGGGTGGGGCCAGACCCTAGAGCCATCCTGGAAGCAAATGTGCATTCTTCTCTTTATACTCAGAAATTGTATATATGGTTATATGGTGGGGATCTCAACCATTTCCAAGTAATACACTTTTTTTGGCCCAACCATTTGTACAATTTTGAATCCCTGCCTCCCATGGTTGCTTCCGACCAAATATTATCGATATCCATGGCACAGTTCTACAAAAGAAGTTGTTTATAGCAATATAGCCAAATTGCCCCCGCCCTCAGCCCCACCATTTGTACAAGTTTGAATCCCCACCACCTAGGGATGCTTCCAGTCAAATATAGTTGATATCCAGTGCATAGTTCTACAGAAGAAGCTGTTTGTAGCAATATAGCCAAATTGCCCCTATTTGGCCCCGCCCTCAGCTCCCTGGGGGGTCAGCCCCACCATTTGTACAATTTTGAATCCTTACCTCCCATGAATGCTTTTGATCAAATATGATTGATATCCAGTGCATAGTTCTACAGAAGTTGTTTGTAGCAATATAGCCAAATTGCCCCTATTTGGCCCCGCCCCACAGCCCCCTGGGAGGTCAGCCCAACCATTTGTACAATTTTGAATCCGCACCACCTAGTGATGCTTCTAGTTAAATATGGTTGATATCCATCACTTGGTTCATGAGAAGAAGTCAATTAAAGCAATATAGCCAAATCGTCCCCTTTTTGACCCCGCCCCTCAGCCCAACCAATTGTACAATTTTGAATCCCCACCACCTAGGGATGCTTTCAGTCAAATTTAGTTTAATTCCAATCAGTGGTTAGGAAGAAGAAGTCGTTTAAAGGAATTGTTGACGTACGGACAGACGACGGACGCCACGGAATGGCATAAGCTCACCTTGGTCCTTCGGACCAGGTGAGCTAATAAATAATTATTCCAGGTTCTTACATATGTATATACCTCTTCATCACAATCTAGTTCGTAGGTTGTCTCAATGCAGCCAATATCTGTCTAAACTCCCTGGGGAGCATACAGCCGGTGCTGCAATTTCGGCGCTCACAACTAGCATTCAACAATTCTAGCACTGCCCAACCACGTACTCATTTATAGCTGAGTAGTTGGAACAAGCCCAACCACGTACACATTTACAACTGAATAAACTAAAACAAGTGGAGTAAAGTTTCTTGTTCAAAGATACAACACAGTACAATGATGGAACTCGAACCCGCAACCCTATGGCAACGAGCCCGTTGACCTACCATTAAACTAATGTGCCTCCTAACAAATATGAGACTGACCTAGGCCAACACGCAATGTGTACATTGATTGAAACTTTTGTGACCTTGACCTTGACCAATCATAAAATATATGACTGTCTGAACACTTCACTACACACTACCATTGATCACCAGTATAAATCGTTCAACTGATCTCCACTAAAAAAAACCAGTTTATTTCAAACAAACAAATCTACTGCACACACATGCTTGCTAATTTACATAACTGGTGAAGTAGTTCAAGTGGCTAGCACTGAAGTGTGTATTGTGGAAAATATTTACTTGTCATAAAACTACACAAATCAAATTCTTGCTATGTACATGTACATGTGCACAATTTGAGTTTCCGAAAAATATAATCTCTGCAAAATAACTGGCTATAGTTATGCTAGGAGTCAACAGTATTTATTATAAATGTATAGATTTATAAACAAGAATGCTGTTTGTAATATTAAAGGACAAACACCCATACAGCAGAGATATTTGAACCAGACAATACCAGTTGGGTGCTCTGTTCGGGTGGCACAGTGGCTAATGCATTCGCCTTTCACCATGATGCCTGGGGTTCGATACCCAAAGCGGATGTAAAAATGGTATTTTGGACACAGACCCGACTACTTGATCACGAGTTTGCTGGGTACTCCAGTTTCCTTTGACATTTTAGACACTCTGTGCACTTCACAAAGAGTGATTAATTGAAGTTGGAAAACATTTTTCATAATTATTGTGAATTTAAACAAGAGGCCCAATGGGCCTGCATCGCTCACCTGATATAATTCTCACACTTATCACATTAAAAGTGATCTAAAATAAAGCTACAGGCAAAATATCAGTATTTATGATTAAAATTCATTCAAAAGAACCTGTTAATTTTTTTAAAAACATTTCACCCCTATGATTGAAAGTCGAACAAATTGTATAGCCTTTCATCTCAGGATGCAACTTGCAAAGTATCAACATCCTGGGACCCATGGTTATTCAGCAGAGATTGTTTAAAGATTTTAAACAAATTTGACCCCTATGACCTTGAATATAAGTCAAAGTCATTCACTTTAACAAACATAGAAGTCCTTGATCCCAGTATGCTATTGACTAAATATCAACATCCTGAGCATTTTGGTTATTCAGAACAAGTTTAAATATTTTGAACATATTTGCTCCTTGCGATCTTGAATATGATTCAAGGTCATACATTTAAACAAACTTGGTAGCCCTTGATCCTAGTATGCTACTGACTAAATATCATCACCCTGAGCATTTTGGTTATTGAGAAAAAGTTGTTTAAAAGTTTTTAAACATATTTGACCCCTGTGACCTTGAAAATAGATGAAGGTAATTCATTTGAATAACCTTGGTAGCCGTTCATCCCAGCATGTTAATGGCCAAATGTCATTAGCCTATGCCTCTTGGATATTCAGGAGAAGTTATTTAAAAGTTTTAAACATATTTGACCCCTGTGACCTTGAAAATAGATGAAGGTAATTCATTTGAATAACCTTGGTAGCCGTTCATCCCAGCATGTTACTGGCCAAATATCATTAGCCTATGCCTCTTGGATATTCAGGAGAAGTTATTTAAAAGTTTTAAACATATTTGACCCCTGTGACCTTGAAAATAGATGAAGGTCATTTGTTTGATCAAACTTGTTAGCCCTTCATCCCAGCATGTTACTGGCCAACTATCATTATCCTAGGCTTCTTGGTTATTCAGAAGTTGTTTAAAGGTTTTAAACATATTTGACCCCTGTGACCTTGAATATAAGTCAAAGTCATTCATTTGAACAAACTCTGTTGCCATCTATTACAGCATGCTACTGGTCAAATAGCATCACCTAGGCCTCTTGGTTATTGAGAAGTTGTTTAAAGGTTTTAAACATATTTGACCCCTGTGACCTTGAATATAATTCAAGGTCATTTGTTTGAACAAACTTGGTAGCCCTTTATCCCAGCATGTTACTGGCCAAATATCATTATCCTAGGCTTCTTGGTTATTCAGAAGAAGTTGTTTCAAGGTTTTAAACAAATTTGACCTCTGTGACCTCGAAAATGGGTGAAGGTCATTTATTTGAACAAACTTTGTAGCCCTTCATCCCAGCATGCTACTGGCCAAATATCATCACCCTGGGAATTTTGGTTATTCAGAAGAAGTTGTTTAAAGGTTTTAAACAAATTTGACCTCTGTGACCTCGAAAATGGGTGAAGGTCATTTATTTGAACAAACTTTGTAGCCCTTCATCCCAGCATGCTACTGGCCAAATATCATCACCCTGGGAATTTTGGTTATTCAGAAGAAGTTGTTTAAAGGTTTTAAACAAATTTGACCTCTGTGACCTCGAAAATGGGTGAAGGTCATTTATTTGAACAAACTTTGTAGCCCTTCATCCCAGCATGCTACTGGCCAAATATCATCACCCTAGGAATTTTGGTTATTCAGAGGTTGTTTAAAGTTTTAAACATATTTGACCCCTGTGACCTTGAAAATAGATGAAGGTCATTTATTTGAACAAACTTGGTAGCCCTTCATATCAGTTTGCTTCTGGCCAAATATCATCACCCTAGGCCTTTTGGTTATTAAGTCGAGGCCGCACCACAGCATATGAGCTAAAAACTCACCAGTGATCAACAAATTAATTGGGACTAAAGAGTATGTGATATTTCTGTTTCATCATATAGCATATATACTGAGCAACAAACAAACGACTGACAAGCTGAATTTTTTATTGTAAAACAATTTTACACATTCCATACAGTGTAACAGTACACATCAGTTAATCATTTTCACAGTCTAACATATAACAGCAAAATTTTAACGCAAGATTTTTTCTCTCTCAGAATAACAAAACATGAAATATTACAGCTCAAGACAGAAGAAAATTGCAAAAATATCATATTTTGAGGATCTTAAATATAAGGTCTTTCAAAAATACACATAATATTTACATGGTACTTTCTGGAGAGAATGTACATGTGTTAAGACTGTAGAAATATATATATTGATAAACTATAGTTACTGTTAATACTTCAGAAATGAAGTCTCTATAGAAAAGACTCTCAATAGTGATGACAAAGAACTTGTTTATAAATAGAAATGATGACCCTTGAACTTGACATCCTGAAACACACAAGGTTTTGAAAGCATTCTCACTTTAAATATTAAAATGAAGCTTGATCAAAAATCAAAAAACAATTACATGAATTGAAGTCAATAAACTTTAACAAAAGGTGAAGAAAAGTATTTTTTTACCATAAACTAATTGATTCAGGTACATTTCCTTGAAAAGAAATATATGCGAAGAAGAAATAGCAAAAGTTCAGATAAAGGAGTTTGTTAAATTTTCGTGGCCATTAGATCGTGTATGAAGACACAAACATGAACAATTATGTATCATAACATATATAACAGTGATAAACCGTTACCATGGAACAGTTCTAAATCACAAATCATTGACCAAATTTGCAAGTGGTGGGGCTATAGAGATAACTCGTAAAAGTGTAATATAAGATTAAGTAAGAATTATCTTTCTTTCTGTACAACTTGCATGAGTAAGGTCAGATTAAGTAACAGTTATTGCCTCATTACTTGCATGTGTATGGCATGTTACAAAATGGCCACCATGGCTGCCATGTCGAAGTTTTGTACGAGGCCGAAAAATAACAACACTTTGTTGGCTACCTTTTCTTAACATCCCGACCAACTTTCAGCTCAATGACACCAGTGAATTTGGAGAAGTTTAAAATGTGTTTTTCAAGATGGTGGTTATAGCGGTCATCTTGGATTTTGGACTGACCCGAAAAACAACAACGCTTACATTCTTCATTGATCTGTAGAAATTTTTCTCAAAAAAAAGGAAAGATGAATGTTTTTTTTTAAAATTGTGACCTTTGACCCAACAGCGAGCTTTTTTATTTGACCTTTTAATGAAATAACATACTGTAATAAAAGTTAGCCCCGAAGATTATCTATATATAATATAACAGCGTCAATTCTGTAAATTAAACCGTTTTTGAGTTATGGCCATTTTAAGATTTTGACCTATGACGTCATGGTGGCCATATTTACTTTTTGACCTACTTCAAAATGTTGCTTGATCATCTTCAGACCTTTTCCTACAACATACCTTAAAGACTATAAACCTATCTTTTACCAATCAAAAGATACAGAATTCACAAATTACGGAAGAATAAGAATAATAATAAGAAACTTAACAAAAACAATAGGTCTTTTCACCAGACCTAAAAACCCTAAATGTATATTGTATACTGGAAAATCTTTACAGAGTTAAACTTCTGCCTTACACAAATAAACTCTATTTAAGCCTAGTGTTGAGTTTGCCCTTCACATAAACTACTATATGTATTATGTTGTTTACTTGTATTCACTGTAATGATAAATTCACTCTTGTTACAGAAGGTGAAGATTAAACTGCGACGAAAAAATTCTGGTATACCGTAACAAATTGCACATCTTTTACAAGCATATGCCTTCAGCCCCTTGCTTTCACATTAGCATATCATATCAGTATTAACTTATTTTTTGTATTATGTGATGTAGTATTGTTTCATGGTGACTGTTTATCTGTAATATATATTTTCAAATTGACAAAATTTTGACGAATTCATTTTTCAGCACTGTCCCTGTCCCACTGTTTAACTATTCTTTTTTGGAACACACTTACATAAATAAGAAATCATAGTAGCTCCCTAGCACTACTATCTCTTCAGAGGCTCATCCGGGGATGTTATCAGACCAGTGGATCCCTAAATGAACCTCTAAAGGACCCCCCTCCCCTACCCCTTACAAACCTCTAAAGGACCTGGTGGGGGGTCAGAGGGCCGGCACCAGCACGATCACACGGCATATTGAACGTTATCGGACATTGCCCCCGGGTAGCAGAGTTTTTCTAGGACCCCCCCCTAACAAGAGAGGTGAAAGCACTTTTGGAGCTATTGCTAGTATCACTACTTGCCACTCTTTGTTAATTAGCACAGCCTGTGATAATATAGCATGTCAGGCTCTGTTTTGTTACATGTATAAGCTTAAGCCATTTCATCTTACAAACAGAAAATGTTGACACAGATCTAGCCGTCTAAATTTTGTACGTCCTTATAATTACTGCCAAGTACTGTCTATCACTTGGCAAACATTTTAGCAAAGGTTACACTCCATCTTTCCGCCATGAAAAGAGGGCTTGTATAGCCATAGCCTGTTGTCCAATTCCCATTAAATCGCTTGATTTAATAAAATATTTTGAAATGAAAATGTGAGAACAAACCTAGAACCCGATCAAATTAACATGGCATGTCCAAAAATTCGAAGTTAGGAATGTTTCCATTACCAAGCTTCTCCTCCTGTGCCTCACACAGCCCCCTCACTGGTGCTGGTTTCTCCTCATCAGTGTCATCATTGATAACAATGACAACAGGAGTTGTCTCCCTTATCGCTGTTTCAGGGGAGGCTGCACCATTAGAAATGATACTTTCATCATCTTCAGCCTCTTTCCCTAAATCATCAATTTTCAATTTTTTGCCTGATGCCAATTTATGCAGCAGTTTTCTCTTGACCATCCTTTTCTTCAGTCCAGATGGCAGGTTAGCAATGGTTTCCATAGTTGCTTTTCTACACTCCTTAGCCCAGCCTTGCTCCTCGTTTATTGGTATTTGTGACGTACCACCTACTGCTGAAGCTGGCTTACCGACCGCTGATGTAGACTTCCTGTTGGATTGTACTGCCTTTCTGATGGGTTTGGTTTGTGTTTCGACAGTATACTCTTCTGTTACTCTACTATCAGTCTGAATTTTTAACCCCTTAGCTTGCTGCTGAACCGCCAAATTGGACAGAACTGGAATGATATAAACAAACGTCCTCACTACAATGCGCATACAAAATTATTTTAGGTAGATAGACCTTCCACTTTTCTACAAATATCAATATACGATGTCACTAGACTTCCTTTTAATACACGACACTTATACATTAGTATCATTGATTGATGGGATTTTCATTTGAATAAACCGGTAAACTTGGTTTAAGAGTTTTCCAACTTACAATTCATCCAGTTTTTGCCCTCTGCAGCTGTACACCTTTTAGTGACATCTCCCTGCAGCATCTTGTTTAGAATAAATCTCATGTCAGTGCTCACCGCTTTCGGCATCAGGCTCAAGGCAAGATCGAGATTGGAGCAAAGCTAGGAAAAACATAAAGTTCCATATAAAATATAAAAGTACACTTTTTAAATAAATTAGAAAAAACTTGCTCTACCCTTGAATATATTCCAAATACATGTGTGACGAAAAAAAAGAACATTCTGTAATGTTATTTCAGTTGAAATTATATCAATATTTTTGACAGGCACTCAAGATTTATAAAATTGTAATGTTGTGAGTGAAAATCATGCCATGTTATTTCACTTATAATATAACATTGCTGTCAATTAACCTGTAGGTAGATATAAAACTAGGTTGTAAAACTTATATTGATTTAAATCTTTTATGTAATTGGTAAAGTCTGGAAGTTTCTATCAATCAATCACCTATTACAACATGACAAGCACTGAAGAAACCAAAAACTCTTAATTTCTTACTTCAACCAATAGATTGACTTGTAGCTCTGGCTGCTTGTCTGCATCGCGGTAAAAGTTGTCTCCCTTAGTGATGTACTTCATGAGCACATGTGACCTTTCGTAAGCATACATCAAGGTCAGAGCGAGAGCAAAGATGTCAGCTTTTCCAGTGATGTCACTCTCTTCCAGCCCAGTTGGTGATAGCTGCTCAGGAAATTTGGACAGAAGGACCAACCAAGCCCGCTCGGGACTCAGATATTCTACCGTCCAACCAACCATGTCATTCTTCTCCCCTATCTTTTTTGCTGCTCCAAAGTCGGTTAACTTCAGCAGGAACTGGTTCTCGTCCATCATCAACAGTATGTTTTCGGCTAAAATAAACATAACAAACACCAAGAGTTAGTTAGAATCATATTTTCAAATCAAACAATTTTTTGCGTGAGAAACGGTCACAACAATGACTTACTGTGTTTTATCATGAAATTGCTTCATTGCTTCAGACATGTCAAAAGTTGATGTAGTTAATTCTGAATTCATTATGACACACACAAAAAGCATGATTTTTGGGAAAATAAAACAATCTTTTGCATTGATGTTGGAAAAGTACTACAGAAAGTTTTGGGAAAGGGCCTTATAATGGTTCTAAATTCACCTTAAACTAGACACCTGCATTACAAAGCGTATGTATCAAAAATAACTGAGCAGCAATATTAAACATTATCAAATGGTGACATCATAATACATGGAAAAACTACTTTTTGGTTAATACAATATTGCTACTCCATGATTTTTAAGGTGAATTGAGAACCGTTACAAGGCCCCTTCCCAAAAACTTCTGCACAAGACTCAGGCCCCTGTGGAAGAGAGGTAGAAAAATCACCGTGGCATATAATCCTCACTGATGATTGATATAGTGATACTTACGTTTTATGTCCAGATGACAAATGCCGAACTCATCCAGATATTCCAAAGCACACAAGCCCTGATAGGAGAGGTCCCACACGTCGCGGTCCTGAAATTTCCGCAGCCTTGCCATCTGAAGCATTGACTGACCTGCCGATCAGAGACAAACAGATCAAATAACCGACTTTGTAGGCTTTGTTATCTACGTCAATATTTTTATTTAAATTACATGCATAGCTAAAGTATGAAAACAAAGATGAAGGCCACCGTGGAAGGTGTCAATACAACTTGTTAATAACTGTGAACAAAAGTCTTCCCAAGACTGAGTCGATTTTAAATTTGATGCTACATTGATATTCTATAAACTGACATCATAAAATAACATTCTTGTTGTGCAAAAAGATGCAATAACAAATAAATGTCTCCATTAAATACTGTCAAATTTTAGCCTTTTTTTCCCCTTGCTAATCCATTAACACTTATTTGTGTATAGAGCTGGAAAAGGGAAAGGAAAAAGTGGAAAAGTTAATATATAGAATAAACTAGCCATATGAAAATGAAATCAAATACAGGTATCATCCGACATGTAAAGGTGAATGAAGATACACTGTATTTAATATACCAGTTTGACAGACCTATCTCTTACCTCCATACTCCATGATGATTTCAGGAATCTTGTTTCGAACTATCATCCCATAGAACTGTATTATATAGGGACTGTTTAACTTGGCAGTCAGCAGAACTTCATTTCTTTGGAAATCACCAGTAATCTGACAAGAAAGACAGGCAAAATTATTTCCTATATTTAACCCTTTCATCACTGTAGACCATAATGGACTTATCCAAATCAATAGATGGTAGAATGGTCGGTAGGGTTCACCCTCAATAGATTTCATCTAATTTATTGAAGAATTTGTTTTGAATTCAACACTATAATTGGCCCTACCAACATTTGGCCTGGGGTCAAACTCTCTCTTCAAACTTTGTCAAAAAATCCACATCTTTAAACACTGAACTAGGGGAAATTTCTACACATATGAAATGGAACTTCTGCTTTAGCAAAGTCAGTCTCACTCCTGGTTACGTCGTACTAGTTTGAGATAAAATTGTCATATAATAAACCCTATTACTTGTAAATATCATTTGGACAAAGGGCAGATTTTGGGCTGGATAAATGAGATGAAGACTTGAGGAACCAGATTCAGTCTTTTTTATAGTTCTACATTAACAAATTCACAGAAGCTTCCATACCTGCTTTATGACATAGTCAGTCTGATCATGGACATACAAGTTGACTTTTCCAAATGAACCTCGTCCGAGAACCTTCTTTCTGATGACTTCCCTCCGATCTTCTGAACACAGGAACCATAAGCTCTGTGAAAAGACAGTATACACACGCTATAGCTAACAGTCACACAATCTGAGTACAATTTGTATCAATGTAAAATATTTCCCCAACATTATGATGTGTTAGTTTATTCTATGCTGCTTGTCCTGAATATAATGTTCATGTTGGTAGATTCTTCACAATATTGTATAGATCAAAACATGTATTCTGTATCAATAAATTCTGTTATTTTACCAATTCTGTACATATGACATATGTATTGAACATGCACAATTTAAGATGTTTGTTTTATCATATCCCACATCATAAATAGTCTAGGCTTTTATAGGATGATTGGAAATTTTGCACACTGTATATTAAGCCAGGGGTCAACACTAACATTGGCCTGCTAGTCCTAGACTAGTAGATTTCAGCAAGGACTAGTGAATCACCTAACCTAACTGGTCCTTTAATTTGGACCTGTGAAAAAATGATGATAAAATAAGAATATTACTTTGTAAAATTTAGAAAACTGCTTGAAATAAGATCTATTGCATGATAATTGTCCAAATTTTCCTAAAATTTCCCCATATTTTTATAGTAAATATTTTAAGTCCTCTCCTGTCGATTACTCTTGATGTTTCGTGCTGTAGATCGCGATGTTTCCTTATCAGGAAATCTTGGACTATTACATTGACGAAGGACTAGTAAATAATCTATTCAACTAGTCCTGTGAACTACCCAGCAACAAAATTTAGTGTCTAACCTTGTAAGCCACTGATCATGAAAATTCAACTCTTGAAAGGAACTGTTCATAATTTCTCTCTCTCAAAAAACCCTGCCAAAATTTGATTTGATTGCCAACATATTAATGTAATATATATATAGCTACCAGAGGAGCCGATCCCTGCCAAGAATGGAAGAAGGAAAATCATATGCTTATAATTATTATGCTGTTTACTTATATTCGCTGAAATGATAAATTCATCTTCATTACTGAGAGCAAAAAAGGCGAAAATTAATTATAAACTGCAGTGAAAATTTCCCAGTACCTGGTATACATAATTATTGCTACATGTACCTCTTTAGTGAAGATTCCAGTTTCCTCGTCAGGGAGGGCCACCATCTGGAGAACCATGTCAATCAAGGCATCTTTAGTGCCATGCACTGTAAAACTGAAAATTGGAAAATGAGATATGAATGCTATTTCATTATTACTTTCTCCTTAAGTAACACGATAAAACTATTTTTGTAGGGTAATAATAGTCTGCAATATATTTGAGCAATATGCATATACATGTATATATATTTGATGCAGTTTCAATCACAGAGACTAAAATCTAACGTTAGAAATATTTTGCATAGTTCATATATATTCTCATAGTCTAGACCAAATAAAGGAATAAACAATGCCAAATTATTTCATATTTGATCTCTCACCCACCCCCCTCCCAATATATTATACATTAGGAATACCCTCCCCAAATAAAGCATCTTTGTCTCATTATTCAATGACCTGTTGTCTGTCATTTTCTAGTTTTTAAGACTGATTAGCTGTTTTATTTTATTTTATTTAAATACATCTGTTTAGAAAACTATTTTGAATTCTATTTAGATTAATAATTATACACTATATAATCCTTTAAGTCATTTTAACGCATTTCAAATTCAGAATTACATATAATGTGTTATCTCAAAAAAGTTCAAAACCTCAGTTTAAAATAAGAAATTTAACTTCCATATATCTCGAAGCAACCGAGTTTGAAGTTTGTACCGCCATTAAACATGACATACCCTGGTCTGAACTTCGTCACAGGTTCTCGTTGTTTGAGCTGTTCCTTGTGTACAGATATTTCCTGCTCTTCCTCCTGATCAATCATCGTCTCCTCTTCCACCTCCATCCCTTCTTCATCCTCAGCCTTTCTGCTATCTTCCTTTACTGTTTCGAAGGGCAGGGACGGCAGAGGTAGCTCATCTTCCTTCAGCAGGTCAATGTCGGGCATTGGCTCTATGTCATGATCACTTGACAAGTATCCATGAGGGGAATGATGATAGTTTTTTCCTGTGTCAAACACTTTGTTACTGCCATTCTCAGGATTTGATTTTCTCTCATCTTGCTTCGGCGGGAGCACTTTTTTGAATTGAGAATTGTTTTTTTCCAAATTTACATTTCCTAAATGAACACAGTCATTTTCAATTTCTGGACTAGTGCTAATTTTTACAGTGTTTCGCTGTCCAATCACAGGACTGGAACTTGACTTTCTATCTTGATCTGTTCCTGGCAGGAGAATTTTTCTAGAAGGAGCGCTTCGTGGCCTTTGTTGTACACCATGGCCACAAGATCTCGATTCAGTTGGACTAACATAGTTGCCAGATTCATCACATGGCGTCGGGGGCTCCATGATTTCTAGTTCAGTCATCACAGGTCAAATAAGAGGTATCTACAGCAGGTCAATTATCTGTGAAAGATAAAAAAAAAAGCCATGTAAACTCAGAAAAGCATACCGGTAACAGATGTCCCAAGCATGTCATATCTAATGATTTGAGCTAGAGACTCACAAAAATTACTGCAGAAGAATGCAATGGATAAACATATTTTGGTCCCAAGAAGAATCAATAGCTACATAGTTTCACAATGACCTTGCTGGTCACTGAAAGGTTTTGAATCACAGGTCAGACCAATTTTGCGGACATGACTTGGTGTCATGCTCACCGTTGTGTGTACTGTGTAACAATTAAATCCGGGATCCCCAGTCCCATTGGGGCTAGTTTGCTAATTAATATGTGATGACAGTGGGTTTAAACATTAAACAGCTACATAAGAGCTGTTACTTCATTACAAACGTACAGTATATAATTTACCAACACAGAAATGTAAGTCAAATGTTAGTAGTGACTATGAAATGGAAAGTTCAAATTTAAACTGGACACAGACATTAAATCAGGAATTGATTCTCTCCTCGTCAGGATTGGAATGAGTGTTAATTAATAAAAAAGATATTTAAACATTCACAATTGGATACATGTACTTAAAACATGGAAGTATATACGTAGTAGGTACTGTTTTGATATTCATTTTTAGCAATTGAAGATTAAATATTCCCAATGTTTTGCGAGATATCATTTTCTTTTTTATCCTCTAACCTGGGATATAAGTAGATCCAAGTGAATTTTTTCCTTCTTTTAATTATTATCATTTTTCTTTGTTGAAGGCATTTAATACATATTATGCAGTTCTACAGAAAGCTATTTGATAACAATTAACAAGATTTCCCCCCCCCCCCCTTTTATTGAAAACAAAACCTTTTAAGATTGAATTGTTGGTTGGCTTTTAAACATATTTTTTAATAACAATGGTAATATACAAAGTGGAATATTATTAAATGGAAGTATTGTGATATACAAATGTACTTATGTCGATATACAAATAATGTAGCAAACTTAATGTATATCAATTACATGTCACATGTATACGTAATCCTCCCTAAAATTCTGTAAAATAACTACAAATCAATCTGGCAATCACCAATATAAATTGGTTCCACCAAAGTAAATATATAGGCAATATTATTTGTTTTGAATGTTTCACATTTGTTGACATTTTTTCATAACAGTTTAAAGTTCAGGACACATGAGAGACTGCCCGTGAGTGTAGGGGTATTGGCCTGGGTAATTCGCCGGCGACCAGGTAGCTAAATTGGTAGTGTCTGTCAAGAGTTTGGAAGATCCTGGGTTTGACTCCCAGTCTGGCCTTGCATTTCTCTTACTCCTGTTACACCTTGCATCAAACAGCAGAGAAGGAAACATAAAATCTAATACAGTAATAGTTGCTATCTTATAGCTTTACAGGCCAAATGTTTGCCAAAAGATCTTGGTTAAAGAAGTAATTAACATGTTAGAATATTGAATAAATACTATTTAAACTAAACAAAAGAAGTCGTTAGGGAAATTCAGGGGATTTCCCACCGCATGTTGCAATCCGGACCGAACCAGAATTTGCTTGATTTATGGCCATTGACATTAGACATACCATGTAGGCCTATATAAAATATTAGATTACAAAAATTCCTTGAATGGTAATACGTGAAAAAAATGAACGGACGAAAAAAATACTTCACAAAGATAGACCTAGGCCTATACCTGATAACAAATTAAAATTGTTGGGAGCGCTACTGTAGTGCAGCCATGGCGCGAATATTTCGCGATTTTTTGTAGATTGTCAGTATTTCGGAAACAATCAACAGTTCGATTTTCGTTTATTAAATGAATTTTAACGATATGTAACAATGCTAACATTATTTGATAATCTATATTTAGTTAGAATTTGATAATATTTACCCCAAACCTTTACTTTGGAGGCCCTTCGGACCTACTGCTCTCTGACCGATCCCTCTACCAGACTCTGTTCAAGAGCTGATTGAACGAGACTACTGAATGTCATTTGGCTCGTTGCCAAATTTTACGCTGGCGCTGCTAAAGGCCTGAACGGAAACCTGAATCAACTAAGTATATATATTGGGTTTGAAACGAAAATTATTTCAGTGCTTCATATCAGATGAATGTATAGCATAGAAAGACAGCTTTTATCTACACAGCCTGAATAGCGAAAAAGTTTCTCTTGAAATATCACCGTTGGAGAGATTGCGGTAAATTAATCGTCAATAACAAATTAATAGCGTTACCAAGCTAACTAAACGAAACACTTAAAGAAAAATGTTATTTCCAAAAAGGTTTCTGAAAGTCCATTTTTTTTTACTGAAATCAGGGGTGGATACGGAAATTTATTTAGGATGTTGCCCAAACTTAAAAAATAAAACTTAATTTAGCCACAATTTTTTCGCGCTTATGAATTGGCATATAATCTGGAATTCTGATGTCAATAAAGAGACAGTTGACGAACCCCAAAAGGGGACACGCGAGAATGCCGTCAGGGATCATCCACTTGGACAATATAGCAGAATAGAACCAGTAGGTGTACCAGCAATACTAGATGAAAGAGGACCAAAATGAAAAGATATGTCTTTAGATAGGCTAGAACAGGATCAACGTCTATAAGAGGTACCGACCACTAGTTATAAAAGCTATGGTTTATTGCAGAGGAAATATGGAAGAAGGGGACTGTATCAAACAGCTGGAAGAGAGAAGCGGAATACCTACATGTAGTCCTTAAAGAGACAAACTCGGAGACCAGAGACCTGTTCCGGACGATTTCGCTCTCAGTATAGAGGGAAAAAATACCTTTTCCATTTTATCCAAAAAGCTAACAGATTTCATGACCAAAAATAAGTTAATCATCTTTGGAACAGAAACTTGTTTGGACTCCAGTATCAAAGACAGCCAGATCTTTCCTACAGGTTATAACATCTTTAGAGATGACAGAAATTTAAATGGAGGAGGCGTCCTTATTGCAGTGTGGGACAATCTCATCAGCCCACCCGTACCAGAATTACATACTGATTGCGAAATAGTATGGTTTAAACTGGAACTTGTTGGTCACAAAGCAATCTACCTACCATCATATTAAAATCCTAAAACATCTAACGAGGAAGGATACGTGCAATTTGAACGCAGCATAGACAGAGTTACCAGTATAAGGAAACTCATTCATAGTAGCAGCAGGAGATTTCAACTTACCTGGCTGGGACTGAAAAACAAAACAGCTGAAGCCGAACATGTGAATATTCACCATAAATTCACTGATATACTAGACGATCATGGCTTAGCAGAACTAGTTGAAGAACCAACAAGAAGAACAAACATCTTAGACCTTATACTTACAAACTACCCAGAAAGTTTTAGGAGAACTGAGATTATACCAGAAATATCTGGAGCTTTCCGAATCTCATTCCTAGTGAGGTCCGTCTATGAAGTCTTCCTTCTCCAGTCAACTTGGCGAAATGGGTATTGGTCGAATCTCGAGAGCGCAAGCTATGCGAAGATCGTGGAACGATGGCCTACATTCTGACTGAATGTATCGATGGCGACACAACCGAGAACTAGTAGACACACTGGATCAGGTCAGAAAACGGCACAAACCTACATCAAGGAAACCCCAGTGTATCCAGTTCGACCAAAGCGGGGTAGAAAAGGCGAGGTCAGCCACATCAAAAACAACTATCTTCTTACCTGGAGCATCATGGTAAATGCAGGTCGACCTTGGAAATAATTTGGTTTTCCATCAATCGTTCAGACTACCCTAAGGGCTGGTGCAGGACTGTGACAAACCCTACAGAAGTCCATCATTCATGTAGAGCTGACTGTTCCATGGTAGGTAGGAAGGTAGTCCAAATTTTTCTGACGTTATATCGACTTTTTTTATATTGGTCTGGCGTTAATCGACGCGCTACCGATATAAGTCGATAAAACGTCAGAACAATTTGGACTAGTAGGAAGGCTGCAAGGAAGCACATCAGCACAGTAGCTTCGAGTATCAGGATCTGCTTGAGATGTGCAGACAACTGGACTAGAATGCATGATGACTCCTCCCCTGCTCAAAAAAAGTTTGATCTGTGTTATTTATGTTTTTGTAATAGTGTTGCAATCCTACCTGTTATTGTTCTTAAAACTATTTTGTAAAAACTATTTAAGAAAAAAATAGGACGCCATTATTTTTATAAAATGTCTGGGTTTATGATCGTTTAGGATGCATGTAATGATACCCTGTCTTTGAAAATGATTTATGTATGTTACTACAAAGTTACCACGCTTTGTTCCACAAAAAAATATATAAAAAAAACCTGCAGTAAGTTCGTCAGACCCTTGGCTTTTATTGTGTTTCATATTTTTCAAAGTGAACAATGCTTCAGTAAGAGAAATAAAATATTCAATTTTGGAACTTTAAAATCAGTACAAGACATCTCTAATATACATGTACTCTATATTACTCTCTGAAGTATAAAGCTTTTCATAGACTTTTGACTTCATCACGAATTTCTTTCTGTTTTGAAATAACTTCTCCGCTATCATTTTATGATATTTGAATTATTTTTAAAAATAGAAGTTCTGTTTTCTAAGCTTAACAATAAGCTGTAGGCTTTTCTCCCTTTTCTAATCATAGCGCTATTGATCTGACAATGCTATCCTTAGAACTTATTATTGCTATTCAAAATCAATGAAACTTCGGTTCCATTTTATTCAGGTCATTAAGGTTAAAAAGTTTTAAAATACATAATAACATTTTTTTAAAGATAGAAATAATAACTTTCCCGTGTAGTAGAGTGTCTACTTAGTGTTACTAGCCTAAAATACTGATAAGCGATAAACTTGCTTAGGTGGTCGGGTGGCGCAGTGGATAGCGCACTTGCCTTTCACCAAGGCGACTGAGGTTCGATTCCCCGATCGGACGTGAAAAGGTATGGGTTCACCTGCGATTGATTGATTGATTGATAGGTTTTACGTTCGCTTCACTCGACCACGTGGGTTTCATAGTATCAGCTTGTTTCGAATTTCTCCGGCTACTCCGGTTTCCTCCCACATTAAGACCACACACACGCTAACATCCGATCCAACAGGAGTTATTTGTATAAGTTTAAATAACTTGTTTGCTAATATTGTTGTAAAATTAATAAAGTTTACAAACATGCTTAAAACCCATTCAGGTCCTTTCAGGTCCTTATTTGGATTCATTCATGTCTTTAGCGGGACCCGTAGGACTCTAGTAAGCGTTTTTGTAACAGTGATTAGAATCGCACAAAAACACACTGCACTCATCAAGAACGTCAACATGGGTTCAAAAACGACAGTACGGTATCTGCATAAATATACACCAGCTAAAGGTATAAAGGAAGATTTTGAGGATCTCCTGCAACGTTTTATAGCAACAGAAACTGTTAGATATGAAAATTTTGTTGAAATATGGCGAGACATGAAAATGCCACTAATGTTTGCAGGAAGACAAACCGAAAGAGAAGTTCGAGAGGTGAGGAAATATGAAATCGGTCCCGTCCTCCTATGCCTATTTTCATTACTGTTATCATATGATTCATTAAATGCATGGTTCATTGTCGATTACACTGTTGCCAGGGTTGCTTCGCTACTTGAAGTGCTTCTAAACATGTTGGGCAAAACGGTAACTGGTTGTTTCGCCAAATCCCGTTCGCGCCAAGGGTTGTTTCGCCCTAAATCCCGTTCGCTCTATGTTGTTTCGTCCTATCTTTTTGAAATTTATACGTTAATATAATAATTAATAATTAAATATATCAACTAAACTTATTGATGACTGTCTGCATTGGTGTTAGGTATATTTCATGCATGTAGAGTATGTGAGAGCGGAGTCAGCTTTTCCACAGGAGCCTGAACTTGAAGTTCTGTCAAAAATTGATAATAACAGTAATACAAAAAAATACCTATGCTATGCTTAAAGGCTCCTGTGGCTTTTCACAGCTGCCGTTTGTCACACTCTCTTAAATACAAGACAAACACTTTTTTTAAGAAATTGATTTGAATTTTGTGACTTAAAACTACTAAAATTGAAAGAAAATACCAACAATGTTTCGCCCTCATATTTTTGTTATAGGGCGAACTGGGTTTGGGGCGAAACAACCTAGAACCGGCAAAACAGCGTATATTCAGTAATAATACTGCATTTGGGCAGAGACGTATAATACAGAGATTGGCAACTTGCTCTTGGCCTTACCATTGGTCACTGGTAACCGGATGTCATATCGCGAGTTACGCTTCACCTGCGCCATATTGGATCCTTTCCTGTTCAAAACATAATTATGTTAGAGAAAACATCGAAAATCAACGTAATATTAAACCCGTAGCTAGCTGAGATTTCCATGCGGTTTGGGAGTGCTACATTGAATGTAAACTTAAATTATTAAGTTTAGAAAACACCAAACATCGAAAGATTGCACATTGTGGCTGTGTTTACATATCGGTAATGATTCTGGCTTCAGGAGAACACGAACTCCGTTTTTGTTCTTTAGACAATTTCAAAAAAGTTTTCAGAAATGAATTATTGGATAATATATCTAACCAGGAAATGAAAATGAGGTTGTTACAATACTTGAAAAGTTTCATAATTTAGCTATGAAAATACAGTTTTTCTGAGTAAACAAGTTAAAATGGCGGCTTGTATGTGCGAGGGTTATTTCTATCATGACAAATTAGAACACGAACTCCGTTTTTGTTCTTTAGACAATTTCAAAAATGTTTCCAGAAATTAATTATTGGATAATATTTCTAACCAGGAAATTAAAATGAGGTTGTTACAATACTTGCAAAGTTTCATAATTTAGCAATGAAAATACAGGTTTTTAAGAATAAACAAGTTAAAATGGCGGCTTTGACGTGTGAGGATTTTTTTCTTTCTTAACACACTAAAACACGAACTCCTTTCTAATTCATTATTTAATTTCAAAACCATCTTCAGATATTTATTCAAACATAATATTTCTAGACAGCTTTTTCAAATAAGGTTGTTACAATACTTGCAAAGTTTGATAATTGAGCTCTGAAAAAACGGCGGCTGTGATGTGCGAGGGAATTCCTTTCATGACACCGGCACTCCTCTCTCGTTCGTTATTTTATTTCAAAAACGTATTCAGATATTACATTATATTTTTAACAAGCTTCTTTATATGAGCCATATATCTAGGATATGTGACATGTTGACATGAACTAACGAATACACGATCAAATTATCATAGGTAACTCACTGACCAGACTATCGTCACCAGGATCGATAAGCTGTCAAAACAAACACTCATGCCGCAACCCAAGTCTCGCAGGGTTTTTCAGGGATGCGTGTTTTTGCGAGATCTGTGTGAGTTGCCAATCTCTGTATTATACGTCTCTGATTTGGGTAACACACACCCTGCAGTAACCAGCTATAGGAGATAATTTGACCACAGGATGTAGATTTTGAGTTAGTGTGAGTTTGGACTTAATTGAAGGAGTTTTGAGTAATATTGGCAAATTTTAGTTCAAAAGAGGGGAGTCTCAAGCTTCCTCCGAATGACATGGCTACCATATGCTAGCCAGAGTTTCCTCTGGCCCAAACACCAGACTTAGACATTTTGACATATATAGATGTCTGAGCTGGTGTGGGGCCAGAGCGCACTGCTATATAAAAACGTGACCAGAGGAAACTCAGACTAACCATATGCATGTCGCTGGAGTGGCACACTGGTACCGGGCCTTAGGGTCGAGCCTTGACAAAGCCTTGCAAGGGCCTAGCCTGCATAAACGTTTTCATATCCATCAGGATTTTTATCCAAAAAATGTTACATTTAAAAACAGCCAGCTGAACCTGATATGCAAACAGGGCCCTGGTGTTTGAGATACTTAAAATATTACATAGTTTAAAGGTTTGTGGATATTAAAAGATTTCATGGCATTAAATGTATAGTTATATTTACTAGCAGGGGAGCCTACATTGTATATATATTTCCACCAGCTTCTTGTTGAAACTTGGTTCTAACTTGTTAGGGTGATTTTTCCAGTGTGAGTTAAACTTGGTCTTAAAAGAACACAGGAATGGGGCATTTACCACTGTATCGGAAATACCATTCCTGTGGTTGTATATATTTCTGCCATCAACTTTCGACTTACGAGTTACCTATGTCGACTTTTTTGTGTCGCCTGCATAGGTATTACTTTGTCAGCGTCTTTGTCGGTTGCGTCGTCCAAAACAAAGGTTTCCGTGCGATTTATTGAGTTTCCTTCAATTGATTGAACTTAAACTTGGTACACATATTGCATACCGATATAGCTCAGCGGAGCTCAGGTTTCAGAAGTTTACGTGCATTTTTGGTGGAGTTATGCCCCTTTTATTGCCAAAAATGGTCATTGTGTAGTAAATACAAAAACTTTTTTATTTTTTGATCAATTCCTTTCAAATTTGGCATGGTAATGCGAGAAGTAATAATGTTTAACATATATTACTGGTTGTTCTGTCGAGTTTCATTTTCCGCATTTTGGCGTATCGCACCTTGTTCACATAAAATCTGTTTTCGTGCAATAACTTGAGTTTCTATACGTCGATCAAGCTCAGACTGAATACAGTGATTCCTTACCAATAGTGCTTGCTTGGGATTACTTTTCAGGTCCGAATATCAAAGGTCAAGGTCACCATTACTATAAATAGAAACTCTGTTTCTGTGTGATAACTCGAGTTCCTTAGGGTTGATTGATCTCTAACTTCATAATGTTTCCTTACTAAAAGTGCTTGCTTTGGATTGCTTTCTCATTAGAGTTACCTGGGCAGGCGACACATCCCCTCCTGTGGAATTCTTGTTTTAATAATATGTGAACATAATTTATGATTGTGTTGCAATAACGTTGGAATTATGTTGACAATTATTTTCACATTTTATGAGATAATTTTGCAGAGATAATTATCACGTAAGTATAGGTAACTTTTTATCATGTTAATGCTCAAATGTGACATCAACTTGCTGCAACTAATTACCCTCTCTCCAAAAAGAACCTGTCTCTCTGTTCTGTCTTTGTGCATTGCAGAGTTATCTTGTCTTGTGAGCAGGTATTGATTGTTACGTCATTGGTTTGTGTGAGAAAATAACGTTGTTTTCTCAAACATTTATGACGTTACTCTCACAAATAAATGACGTAACAATTAATACCTGCTCTCATGAGAAGATAACTTTGCAATACGAAAAGACGGAATATCAATACATGAATTTTGTTGAGAGGATTTATCAGGGGTGAGGAGTGGGGTGGGCGGGGGGTAATATTTTACTCCAGGACTCTATTTATCAAGTTGATGATACAATTTCAGATGACTGGTTTATTGTTGTACTAATAACTATGTGAGTTTGGATTGATTACCTATGATCTGAACAATATCAGTCTAAATTAATTGCCTGTATTTAACACATGTACAAATATCAAAATCAACATAAATTTCCTAAAATTATGCTTGTTTCTTTCCAGTTTATAGAGGAGTGCTTCAGAATAGCCTCACAATATGTTTTGGCACCGTACAATTTCCAGGTACGCGTGGGAGCCTTATACCTGCTGTATGGTCTATTCAACATACAACCTCTGTTTCATAGGGTCAAGGTAAGAATTAACTACAGTATACATAGCTTCGATCACGTGACCGCATCCGGGTTGCGGTAAATGCGGCAGCCATATTGGATGGGTCGATTCTCGGGCAGACATACTTGAGCATTGTTAACTTTCTCAGCGACGGCTTCTTGTGTACGTATTACATGTGGCGGAAATGGCTAGCAAAGGTTTGCTTGACTACAGACAGTCATTGGATGTTGTTTCTAGAAGGAGATACGATGAAAAATGTGCGTTGATTGACAAAATAGAGCCATATCAACTTGACAAGACGAAATGGAGCAAAGACATTAATCTTTGGGCAGGTGTGACGTGCGCAGACATTTTTATGTATTTAGTGAACTTCACGAGTGCTTACACTGTAGAAGAGCTGAAATGCTACAAAGGATTGGATGCATACAATCAATTCATCAGCGGCTGGGTACGAGATGTAGCTGTGTATAAAATCAACGATCTTTGCCTGCACACTGCACGAGTAAGTACATGTCAGGGAGGGTGTACTGTCACTCCAGACACAGTGGTTCGTTACAAATGTCTGAAATACCGGATGCTGTACTGATATGGGTCACAGCAGTTTATGTGTGCTGTGACCCATATCAGAAATTTCAGACATTTGTAACTAACCCCTGTGCTCCAGACTAAATTGTTGAAATGAAAGCTATTATATAAATTAGTCTACCAGCTCTAAGTACATAAGTATATGTTTTAAATAATTAATTTATTAATAAAGCCATTTAAAAAAGAGAAATTAAAGTGTACAAATATATATACAATATAAGTACTTTAAGTACTTTTAGATCAAAGTTTTAATGTCTATATAATAGCGTACACTATAGTAGAAATCTAGTACATATTTTAACCGCCATCATACATTGTAATAAGGGTATAGACAATCTATATTTTTCTATTCACATAATTGATGATTTGTAAGCACTTGTAATCATCAGATTAAATATTAAGGACATACTCAACACATGTAATGGATACATGTAGCAGTATAACAAAATCATCCATATTGGACAACCTAGAGCATTCAAGTTAAAAATGTATAAATGATATTTCTAAAGCTTAAGTAATATTGTTATTTTTGTGTTACAGGTGATGCATTCTCAAAGATTAAGCGACACACCACTGACACCGTGGATTATCATCCAAACAGATGGAAAGGTCCTTGCAGCACATTGTAACTGCATGGCGGGATTAGGAGAGTCATGTACCCATGTTGCAGCACTTCTCTACAGCATTGAGGCCACCGTCATAGTGCGAAATTCAAAGACAGTCACCCAGGAGAAAGCGTACTGGCTTCCAGCAAGTGTAAAAGGGGTAAATTACAGCACTCTTAAAGATATTGACTTCACATCTGCCAAGACTAAAAAGAAAGCCCTTGATTGTCAACTTGCTGGAACACCAGTAACTCCACGTACACAGCAAGAGCTTAGAGTTGCTAGCCCTCCATCTGAGGAAGAACTGTCATTGTTTTTACAAAGACTTAGTGCAACCGGGGCAAGATCAGCCATTCTGAGTGTAAAAGTGCCATTTCAAAAGGACTTTATTCCAACTCCTGTAAGTGCTAATTTTCCCATGATACTGTCTGGATTATTTGACAAGGAACTTTTAAGTGCTAGTTTCAGTGAAATCATGAAGAAATGTGAAAAGCATCAGATTGCGGTTTCTGAGCAAGAGGCAGCTACTGTGGAAAGTGCTACAAAAGAACAATGCAATTCTAAGCTCTGGCATAGATTCAGGAGTGGTAGAGTGACAGCATCAAAAATGTTTTCAGTGTGTCACAGTAACCCAGCAGCACCATCTCGGAGCCTAGTCACGTCCATTTGCTACCCAGCCGAGACAACATTTAAATCTGCGGCAACAACATGGGGTTGTGAGCATGAGAAAGAGGCTATTAGGTCCTACAAGGAAGCAATGGAACTTCTCCATGAGAACTTCTCCTTGGAAAAGGCTGGATTTTCCATTAACACAGAATTCCCAACTTTAGGTGCCTCCCCAGATGGACTGGTGTCATGTGATTGTTGTGGTGTTGGTGTTGTGGAAATAAAGTGTCCCTACAGTGTCCGACATTCTTCTCTGACTAGTTACACTGGATCAAAGTCATGTTTAGAAGACACACCAGACGGGAAAAGACTTAAACCGGCACATCCCTACTATTACCAAGTCCAAACGCAGATACATGTGACTAAACGGGAATTTTGTGACTTTGTTGTGTGGACTGAACAAGACATGCACATTGAGAGAGTAGAGCCAAATGAACAATTGTGGCAGGGAATTAAAATGAAAGCTATGGACTTCCACACAATGGCAGTTATGCCAGAGCTTGTCGGAAAGTTTTATTCCCACTCACAGAAAAGTCAACCTGGACCATTGAATGATGTGGCGACCAACTCCCATCAGAACAACCCTATCGAGGACAGCATTTCAGATCATCTTTATTGCATTTGTCAGCAGCCCGAGACCCCTGACAGAGAAATGGTGGCATGTGATAACCAGAACTGCAAATTGAAATGGTTCCACTTGGATTGTTTAAAATTGACAAAGTCAAAACTGCCAAAGGGAAAGTGGTATTGTCCCGATTGTAAGAAAACGGACTCTAACTCTAGACCAAAAAAACGAAGCAGGAAACATTAATTTGTAGTTTGAAGGTTTGAATGAAACAAAATTGAAAATGTTAGTGTACAATGTACTTGCGTTTTAACATGTGAAGTTTAAATTTACATGTATCTACCAGTACTTCTCTAATTTGCGATTTGCTTATAGTGAAAGATCCAATATGTTATGCCGGTTGATAGTTTTCAAGTGAATTCAAAAGTGTTCACATATAATGGTATGCTGCAATGTTTGTGATAACTGTTTTTATTGAATAACATGTCAGAAATAAAATTATTGCATCTGTTTGTGAATTATGTTATTATATT